TCACTTAACACATTGCACTTGATTTGTGCTTCACATGTGAAAATTAGAACAATTGTGCTTTTCCTTTCTGAATGTCCTGCTACACAGACCAGATTCAGGGGTTCTCATATCAGTGTACTCAACTTATATACTTGTGAGGATTCCTTTTGTTCAAGATAAAAAATAATCAACTTGTTTGAGACCTTCTTCCATCAGGTCTTGGTAATATACTCAGAAAGAAAATTAAATACAGAAACTGAATTTATTAACAATGTTCTGAGTGAGTATGTACAATCACTGGATATTTTGGAGGCCAGCATTCAGCAAAAAATGTAATAATTTTTTGTAAGACTAATCTGACCAATCTCCCCAAAATATCCTGTCTACTTGTGCATACCATGAATTGATGATGCAAGTACAAGATTTGTAAGCAAATTTCTGTGTGTATAAGAAACTGATATTTTTCTGCCAATCTATTAATTGTTTTTTGTGTCCAACCATGTCAAGATCAATCCAGAAGAATATTCTACCTACCTATTTATATGTTTGGTAATTTACAAATTTAGATGTCAGTATGATGCTGACTATGTAGGTAGAGTGGTTCAAAGGTTTAAAACACAAATCAATCAACACATACCAGACAATATTCCCAAGGGCATGGTAGAAAATTTACATAGGTGCATGAATACAACATGTTCAGCAACAGCAATGTGCCTGGTCTTACAGCCAAGATGTGTTTTCAGTAGTGAGCAATGTTATTTTTGAGTTTCATTTGAGAGTGTTAGAATCTATTTATATTAAGTGCCACCAGCCATCTCTCTCCAGACAGAAGGAGTGGTTAGTGTGCTTAAATTTTCTGCTTTTAATATGTCTGTTTTTATTGCACTAATAAAAATTTGTACCGCTGCAAAAAATATTTAAACATATAAAAAGCAATATAATAGGGGAACAAAGGAGACAATAAATAATTTGAATGCTGAAGAGTTAGGAACAACAGCAGTGTAGCTCTGTTTATTTTTTTTCCTTTTTATTGTTATACTTTGCTTGCATTATGATGTGGGGGGAGTAACCATGGTTAAATGCAAAAATAAATAACAGAAATGTCCACTAAACAGAAGTGACAAAATTTGCAATAAACAAAACTAAGGAAAAGAAAGGAACAATGCAAAAAATAACATAAAGCAAGCAAACATTATGTGCAATGCCAATCAACAGTAATATAGTAAAAAGTTCATAAACTAAGAATTGTGGATGACACATGCTTCTGCCTAGAAAGTTAGGAGGGGCAAGTGTTTTGCAGTCATTGAAATCAATTGTTTTTCTTGTTTTGCTTTTTTAAATACAATATATATAGTTTTACAAATTCATCTTTAAAAAGGAGTACATTGTGTTCTTACTATTTTTTTTGCTTTTTGCTGCACCAATAAATTGCTTCTAATGTTTTTATTGCAATAATTTTTTAATCAATTAACCCCAAGCAAGAAGATAATGCTACTAAGACATAAGGGGCTACCAGGAGTGAAATAGAATGAAAAGACTTTAGAATGAATGAGACACCCAATCCTAAACAGGAAAAAGGTATAAACCTTTACTCCTGTTTAAAAGATTAGGGAGGTTTTTGAACCAGACAATAGGTGAACTTATCTACCCCAACTGAAGAAAAATAAATAAATAGTAAATAAAATTTCAGAGTTTGGATGGAGATGTTAGAAGGAAACTACTCTTGTTCAAAATATATTTATTATGATTTATATTATAATAAATGTATTTGTCTATATGAACATATGCCAACTGATGTTTCTTAATAGTTTATTTTATTCATCAAAATAAAAAAAATGATAGGATATAAAACATACACGCTAAAATTTAACACAAGGTCAAAATTAATGCCTTAATACATATATTGAGACACATATGCAAAAAGAAAAGAAAAAAAAAGGAAAATAACTTTTGTTTTAAAAAAATAGTGAAACAATAAAAAAAAACCTAAAAGTACAAAATTCTTGGTTTGGTAATTAAAACCTTATACAACAAAACAATGAAAGATGTTGTTTCAAATGGAAAAAAATACTATATATTCACATTTCCTTATTTCTCTGGTAATGTTAAATTTCTAGCTTTAAATATCTCATGATAAAATTGTTATTATTGTTATTTTATATTGTGTATTATATTTTAAAAAAGCAAAACAAAAACACTTATTATTTATTATTTTCTCAAGCAGGTGTGTGACACATTGTTTCAAAAGTTGGACTTTGATGATCTTTTTGTAATAATGTTTACCCAATCCAATACTTGAGATCCACTCATGGTAAAGAGTTATAATTAAAATGCTTATGATGCAATATGAATGTAAGAGGACATGATAGGAAGTAAAGTATCATGGGGATAAGAAGGATAGATAATGAGTGAACTTTGACTTGAAGAGGTTAAGATTGTAATGTTCAGAAAAGTATCTATGCAAGAGTTTGTTTCAAAAAATAGTAGTTCTTGGGAAAAAGATGCTTGGGTGAAATTTCCTCTTTATCATTGGAATGTAGAGGGAATGAGGACAATTTGACTCTGTGAAAGTAACATGGCATTTCATAAGTTGCAAAGAACATTAGCTACCCAAAAAGAACCCTTGCAATTAGAAATATTCTTAAGGATTCCTTTCTTATTTTATATATAACCATATGTATTTCTAGAGAACACAAATAAGATAATAGAAAATAAAATGAAAAAATAATTTCTAATTATATGTTTCTGCAAGATATATAAGCAAAAACTTTCTGTTTGCTGATTAATCACCTTGCTTTTCTTTTGATGTTTCTCACTTTATGATTAGATGTGACAAATGAAGAGGAGGACAATGCAGTGAAAATTCTCTTCCCTATTACACAATATATGCTCAATTTACTAACCTTGAAAGAATATCACATTTTTAGGCTAGTGAGAGGTTGCTGTTAGAAGAGACAAACTTATGAGAAAACACAAGAAATTAGCTATTTTGTGATATCAACATTTATAATTTTACTCTTTATAAAAATTGTCTGAAATCTTATGACAAATCATTATTATTCTATTTATTTTGACCAGCAACTTTATATTTGTTGTTTTCATCAGTTATTAGGAGACAATAATGTAACAATGAAATCTGAAGATGTACTGGAATAGTGAAAGATACTTCCAAAAGCTAAGCAAAATATTAAGAAACAGGAAAATTTTGTCTAACCCTGAGTCCTGAGCTATGGTGTCTGGGAAAGTCAATTTTCATGAGAAGACACTTTCAGAAGGATGACATAGGAATAAGGATGAGATGATTTCCCTGTCCACTCAGTGGCAGTGGCCAGCAAACTGTAATCATTTTTGTTTGACCTTAAGAGGGATTGGTTTCAGTTCTCCGTAAACTGTGTGAAGCATTGCATGGGATCTCTAACTGATGTTCTGGATTTTTCTAAGTAGATTTCTATACATTCCATCCAGTCATCTTTTATGATGAACAGATAATGTCCAAGTTTCTGATCTCTACAGTAGGACTAGTTCAATCAATGTTCAAAAGGTTTGAACTTTTAAGGAGGATGGAATTGTTCAAGTGCCAAATCTTGTGAAGTTTGTGACACGCATCCCATGCAAGAGCTTTGTGGATATTGAATCCTTTTTAGGAATCTATTATTTGAGATCCAAGTTATTTGAAGTCCTCAACTCTTTTGATTGATGTATTATTTAGTTACTTCAACACGGACGGTTCAGGGCGGGGGGGTTGTGATATATTCTGTCTTACTCATGTTGCAATAAAGACCTAACCTGGTTCACTGATTGCCGCAAGGATTCTGCATTCTTGATACATTGAGAAATTAATGTAAGATCATCAGCAAAGTTAAGGTCAGTCAGGTATTGTGGAGGGTATCGACTGCTCTGGCAAGGTTTCAAAAGGAGTCCTTTTTCCTCCATGTTGTCATGAGAAATATGCTGAATGCAGTCCAGAACTACTATAAACAAAAAAAGAGCAAGTATGTCATCTTGTAGATGTCCTGATATAACTTCAAAGGAATCAGTCTCACCATCAGGTAGTACAATGGTGGCAGTGGTGTTTCTGTACAGATCTCTCCAGTGTATTGGGTATTTGATGTATTGGAAGTGGAAGATCCTTGACTTGTGGTGGTTCTCCTAGAAGTTTTTTAAAGTGGTCAAACCAGTTAACTTTACACTTTTCAGCAGAACCACCTTTGAGCCCAATGGAAGGCTTTGATTTTCTTCCTGAGAGTATGTTTATGGTTTTCCAGACTGCAGCATCTTGTTTCTTCATATGGAGTCTTACAATCTTGTCGATCTCTCCTTGAATGTACTCTGCGTCCACACTGGCACAGGCCTCATCTAGTATCCTTTGTGCTTTAGTGGTATCTTTAAAAGTACTTCTAATTAGCTTTTGTTCATAACTTGGTTTCACTCTTTACAGATTTTTTTTTCCTTTCTCACATGAACATCTGAACTGATGTGGGGGTGTTGTAACTAGGGCACATAATGAGGTAAGGGTTATAGAAAGTTTGACACTCACAGGACATATTGAAGGCAAGAGGGACAGAGGAAAGCAGCTTGTATAAATGCTTGGCAGAACAGGGATTAGGAGAGATATAAATAAAACAAACCTTACTAAGAGTTACAAAGGATAACAAATTGTGGAGAGCCATGACCGTCCATGTCTTGAAGTGACAAAGCACATAGAAGATTTATTGAACTTTTCTCATACATGTATTTAATCCAGTCATGTCTTTTCCCTGCTCTAATAGATCCAAATGCTTCTTTCAAACAATGTTACTATGACTGGATTCCTACTGCATGCAGCTATCTAATGCAGCCACATTTAGAACTACTTATAAGAGAAACATTCCAAGAGGATGGATTATATAAGCAAAGAATATTGAAAAATGCATTAAAGTGATCAAAACAGCAAAGATGAAAATATTAATCAGAATAACTTACCTTTATAATGATACAATTTTTTTTTCATTAGTTTTTTAAAATTGTTTTAAAAAACTCACCTGCATATTTTACATTTCTGTGGATTGTGAATTCTTACAGCAGAAGCCTAAAATTAAAATTAGTGAAAGAAAATGAAAATAAAAAACATTCTAATGATTTGAAAAGGACATTAAAATTTGTACTCTATTACTGTTTAGGAATTATGGACAATGTAAGTTTGACTTCTTTCACGTCACATTGACAGAATGGCTTACATTACTGGTTTTGTTTACATATGTTTGCCTAGAGTAGTCATGCAAAATAGATCAAACATACATTGTCGATAAATCCTAAATGATAATCATGCACAATTTCCGAAATAATCAGGCAATTTCACACCATAATGAAACATTTTCATTACAGTTTGCTTTTGATGCTTATACTGCAAATTAACCTTTTATTCTTATATAGTGGCAGAACATCCAGTTTCAAGATAATTTCAAAATCATTTGGAAAATATTTAAACTTTATTTTGCAAGGATAATACCTATATCATACCCTGCATTAGAGAGAGTTCTCTTAAAAGCAGTAATTTTCATTTATAGACATTTTACCATCAAATGTTGTATATACAGAATCAATGATAAGAGATCTTCCCTTAATATATTTACAAAATATTTCCTTTTACATTTGATTATATATATATATATATATATATATATACACACAGAATACTTAAGGTCCTCATGTATAGCCAGTTTAACAGTGGACAAAGGTCCTCGTGTATAGCCAACTGTTGACAGTGGACAAAGGACTGTTGGATGTCTGTGGCTCAGGTATAAAGTCAAGCTAAAGAGTAACCTCTCAGCTGTCAATGTGCTTCATACAAACTTTGGGTGAGTTGCCCTGGATAGAACTAACTGGAAGTATTGGTGCCAGAGTGGTATAGAAATTTCAAAATCAGTTGTATTGGCTGGCTAAGAGATAAAAGACAATGGGGTAAGCATCAGTAAATATTCCTGTTGCTATGTCCTGAGATCATTGAGGATGCACAATCTCATCTCACAATCCTCACACTTGCTCCATATGTGGCCTCCTTTGTAAATCACTAGCGGGCTTTAAATGCCACTTAAGATTATCGCACAAAATTTCATAACTGCATCAATAAGCTGTCAGATCCTTATATGTTGAAACCGACAGGAGAGTCCATTATATATATATATATATATATATATATATATAGTCATCCACAGGCAGACTGTTTCGCTGTATCACAGCTCATCAGTGTGATTAGATGTCCAGTTGCTTATCTTTCTCTCTCTCTATATATATATATATATTAAAATGAAGAGAGAAACTGCAAACGTTTTTGGTTGTAATGTGGATTTTTTAAAAAAATATTATGTGGACTTTTGTTGTAATGTGGATTATATCTAAAAAAAAAAATACACATTACAACCAAAAACGTTTGAGGTTTCTCTCTTCTTTTTAATATACACACTTTTCTCTCGTTGGAGCTACTATAACCTCTTCCCTTTATATATATATATTATTATATATATATATATATATATATATATATATATATATATATATATATATATATATATATATATATATATATATGAATAAGAACAAAAGCTTTTCTTTACCAATGCGTTTCCTCTCCTTAGAGATTTTATCAAAGTATATTTAAGGATTTTATTTTACACCATGCATTTATCAACAGAAGTAAAGTGGACTTTGTTAAAAAGTAACCATTCTTACTACTCAGGGTAAACAGCACTGTTCGAAGCCATCAATGGTTATGCTATTTCAAACTCCCAAGTCATCGTGATCAAGGATTTGACTATACTGGCAACTGATCTAACTGCTGATCATACCAGGTTATGGTTTCTCTCAGACAATGTATATAGATATTAAAGATACACTTAATATAGTTGAAGTATAAACCACAAATGAACTCTGTGGATGTTGAACAAATACAGATATGACTGAGAAGACAGGCGTTCTTGGAAAATTAGTCAGTGGGCTATTATTGGGTTGGAACAAAGCCTTGAAGTTTTTTTTCGAAAGGTGACATTTGAATGTGATTTCATTTCATTTGACTGAAATTTATGATATATTCTGAAAGGTGATGTTTCAACATGTCTTTCTATAGGATTTGTGTGTGGATTGTGAATCTTGAATGTTTTTATGTTAAAAATGAAAATGGTGGAAAAGGAAACATATTTTCATTATTTCATGCTCTTTTATTTTCTGGAAATATAAAAATACTGAGATGAGAGTAGTTTTCATAAGTAGTTTGCTAGGCTCAAAAGTGGAAACAATCTAAGTCACATAACATAGCACATCACAGAGATGCACCACATATCTCATATGAATATTGTAAAACATTTGAAAACACTTGGATATGTGAATCGTTACATTTGGTTAACTCATGATTTAAAGGTCACCAATTAATGCACTAGACACCTTTTAGGCCAAGGGGGAATTACTTAATTATTAAAACATCTCTGATGGTTATCCTAGGAGTTGAAATGAAAGGAATATTAACATAAAAACAAGTTAAAATTAATAAAAATTTAAAGTTTAAAAATACATATAAATGCATAAATAGCATACATATGCTTACAAATATATTTTTATACTGGACAATGGAAAAAAACTTTTTAAATTTTTATAATTACTATTTAAATGAAGAATAATAGAAGTCAATCAGTAAAAATTAAAAGAATATATATATATATATAATTAAATATAACAGACAACGAATGTTTATTATGTTTTATCATGAGCTGTTCCAAGCCATATATAGCCATTCTGATGATGTCTCATGTGAGTCAAAAGCTTAGATCAACAAAGAATATAATAAAGAAATATCCAAATGTTGGACAGTTTTTGTCTTTATTTTCTCTTAAAACTAAAGTCATTATGTGATACTTGGAAAGACTCATAATAAAATGTAATACACATTCCTTGTCTGTTATATTTAACAATATATGTTTGAATAAAGATCTGCTGCCCCTATACACTATATATATATATATATATATATATATATATTAGTAAAGCTAATCATATAAAACATTGAAATCTCTTTGCTAACTAAATTTTAAAGATGCATTAACCTACTAATGTTATGATCCTTGTTTTTTAAAATTATAAACTGATCTTCCTTAAATAGACAAGTACTTTTGACTGTATGTCCAGTCTTCATCAGGCATGGAAATTATTTTGTTTTTGTAAAATTCAGGTAGTATTCGAGACTAAAAAATATAATGCAAATTGAAATATGTTTTTTGTTTTTTAAATTTATTATTGATAATGGATACAAACTTATGGAGTGTGCAGTCACAATGCTAAGGTTAAATTTTTTCTTTTTTGAAAATTTAAGTGAGTACGTTTTTTATTAAAATGGCAATTTGAACATTTTTGTTGTAGGAGTTTATCAGTCAATGTGGCATGAACTAAATAGTTCAATAAGTAGTTTAATATCTCACTTGTTATCCCAAAAATTTGCATGTGGGTCAGATGAATTTAAGATCAAACAAATACTAGTTATTAATAATAAATATTTTCTATAATCTTTTACAAAATAGATAATTCATTACATATATAAATTTTCTATAATAATACAGAATTTAAGTAATTTTATATATAAATTATTTTACCCAGCAAAATATTAAAACAAGTATCCTCACCATTGTTGTGCTGATCACTACATTTTTGCTAGTAACCACACAACTGTATAATCATTAATCCATAAATTATTTGGACTGATATCACATTATATTTTGCTTTTTTTATTATGATATCATGGCTGGTATGCAGTTAAGTTTTACATATGAGTAAATTACAATTGATAAAAAAATATTAAATATTACCTGATGCCATATACACTTAAATAAGGTTAGAGAACTTCTAAAGAGGAATGTGGTGCCTCAAACAACTAAAATAAGGATACTAGTTCAAATAATTCCTCAACATTGAATAATATTAACTAATGATTTTACTGTATTCCGAATCATAATTGTTTTTGTAAAAATTCATATAGCTAGAAGAAAATGAAATGTTCTAATACCTCATCCATTGTGCTCATTAGATTTTTCATCCTGATTTTTGCTAAAAGGCTTGGTGAAGCTTTGAATGGTGATTTGAGAAGATCTTCCCTTTCAATCTCAGATATACTCTTTGTTTCTCTTTTAGGAATGACATTTGAATCTGAAAAGAAAGAAACAGTTTTTAAAGTTTTTAAAAAAATGAAAAATGTTTTCTCAAAGGACTTATTAAATATTGATTAGCTTCAAGGATGTTTTTCACGGTTGATTTCATTGTTTCTACATATAATAATATTATGAGTATGATGGTAATAAACATGGAAATATTAACCAAATCAAGGAGACTTGATTGTTAATCAAATATTGATTAGCTACAAGGATGTTTTTCATAGTTGCTTTCATCCTTTCTAGATGTAGATAATGTTATAAGGATGATGGCAATAAACACGGAAATATTAACCAAATCAAGGAGACTTGATTGTTAATCAAATATTGATTAGCTACAAGGATGTTTTTCATAGTTGCTTTCATCCTTTCTAGATGTAGATAATGTTATAAGGATGATAGCAATAAACATGGAAATATTAAAAAAAATCAAGGAGACTTGATTCTTAAATATTTTAAAATAACTTTCTTCCTTTACAACATTTTCATATTTATGATTAAATTAAAATATACATTATCCCATTTTTTATATGGGTACTAACATATGTGTGTATGTGTATTCACATTTTTATCTATGGATATTTATGTGATTGTCTTGCCTACATCATTTTTATTTTTAAATTATTAACAAATTTATATTCTTATATTTTACTATTATTGTTAGTATTACTTTTATCCTTACCTATATTCTAAATTTGTTCTTCATAATTATATGTTGATTTATTTATTTAATTAATTCATTTTATTTTATTTTATTTATTTTATTTTATATTATTTTATGTTTATTGTGTGTGAAAATTGATTGGAAGCATACATGAGAAAAGGAAAGAAAACTATATGCAAATCCAACAAATCCACTTGGCAAAAGAAATCCACAATTCTCTCCGTGTCTCAATTGTGTCTCAAGACGAGGAGTGGCATATTTGAATATGCCACTCCTTGTCACATGCCAAAAACTCCCCTTGAATGAGCAACCATGTTTTTATGCACCTGACCCAGCCATCACTCAGCCAATGATCGCCCAGAACCAGCCAATAAAAATGGCTACAAGTGACACCACCACTTCTGACAACATGAAGTGGTGCTTGATTCACCTTCAGTATGAAGCTTGCTGATTCACCATCTCCATGCTCCATTGCAAAACATACACATGACTCTGGCCCTTTTGGATTGCTGAGGTAAGTCTCCCCTACATGTTGGATATTTTATTATAATTGTGCTTGTTCCTTCCTTAATTAGTTACTTAGTCCGTCTGTTACACTCTCCAGTACTGGTCTGTATTCAGCATCTCATTGGCAGCTATTTTCAAAGAAACATCCTCACCCAATCCATCTCACTCTTGCCATCAACAAATGCCAGTGATTTTCAAAGAAGCGTAATAGTCCATGAAATTTTGAAAAATTAAAATTGGTCTCATAAAATTTTTTAGGGTGGCCTCTAAATGACAGTATCATTAAAAGGTCTCGTGTTTTAAGGGTTGTCTTCCCCTTACTAATAGGAACATGATAACAAACCTGCACTCTGCTAATGATCAACCGCAATACAGTCAGTTATACATCAATCTTTGCACACATGGTGAACATTCCCAAGTAACTCTATGTGTTATTTATTTTCTCAGCCTATGAGTATTGTATGTTAAAAAAATGATAGATTTAATAGGTAAACTGTATATATTTGTAAATATACCTGTACAAATATAGGCAATTTTACTATTTGCTGCCTAAGAATCTCATTCTATTATATATACAACGATTTTAATTGCTCTTTCTTCAATACATTATTTTTATACATGCATATACGTAGAAAAAGTTTATTGTTTACTCAACATTCTATTAGTCAGTCCATGGAAATTCCATGGGACACCCACTAGTTATTATTATTATCATCATTAGTTTGAAATTGTGATGATTATTCTGTGATGTTGATTGCTGTCTAAAATGACATGACTATTAAAAAATTTGCTGTAACTCTTAATTCAGATCACCCTCTCCCTTACCCAGTCTATTAACTTGCTCAGCCCGTTAATGAAAATTTTTTTCTAGGTCATTCTATTTTTGCTATTGGCTCATCATTTATTTCTTCCTTCTTTCCTTTTTCCTTTCACTTTCTCCCTCTCTCCTCTCCCCAGTTTTTTTCCTTTTTATTTTCCTTTCTTCCTTTCCCCTTTTTTTCTATCTGTCTGGATAGATTGATTCCATTTCTAGAAACTTTCAGTCTGAAGAGATAAATATAAAAATATTCAAGAAATAAATTATAACAGAGATGGATTTTTAAGGTTTTTCTTGATTTATTTTATTATATATATATATATATATATATATATATATATATATATATATATATATATATATATATATATATCAGTTTTAAGATTTAAGAAACAAGATATTTTTTATACATAGTGCTCAATATTAAAAATATTAAAATAATATTAAAAATAGAGAGTTAATGATATTATATGAAAAGATTACTTAACTTTTAAATATCAATTTTTATCCCAACATTGATGTTTCTTGGTAAAATTTCCAGTCTTCAGGGATAGTGGTATTATATGGTGTTTCCAATTTTTTCCAATTGTTTTCACTTTGTTCCCCATCTTTTTCAATTCACTTTTTTATTCTGTTTTGTACACATGCGTATTCATGAAATGTTGATTTTGTTTTCTTTCATTTCTTCAGCTGTGGTTTTTTTTCCAGTTGTAAATTTTTTCTTTGAAATTAAATTTAGTTTTCTTTTATATTTTATACAGACAACTTCCATATAAACCATAAAAAAATTAATTTTGAAGAAAAAATTTGCAACTGGAAGAAAAATCTACAGCTGAAAATAATGAAAGATGTAAACAAAAGCAAAATTTCATGAATAATCGCATGTTAAAGAATGTTAAATTCATGAATATGCACAAAATGAAGTAAAAAAAGTAGATTGAAAAAGACATGGAACAAAGTGAAAAAATTGGAAATACGATTTAAAACCACAATCCCTGAAGACTGGAAATTTTACCAAGAAACATTGATGTTGGGATAAAAATTGATAGTTACGTAATCTTTTCATCTAATATCATATTTTATATTGACATAGAAGATTGCTATACAATGATAACAGTTGCAGAATAGCAGACGCATGCTGTAAATTCATGATGTGGTTCTATATTGTCATACCATGTGAAAGACCGAAATATTAACAACAGAACCATATGTGTAGATGCAATGTAATGTGTTGTGACTAGTTTGAAATGTAATTTTGTTGAGTGTGGGTTGCTTTGTTTTAATGTAGATGGCTTCCAATATCTGAAGGTTCTTTTTACTATGTGTACGTGTGAGTATTATTATGTCATCAACTAATGTCTGTTTAATATTATGTACATGGCTATGTTTTTTTAAAAAATGTTGCTTAATAGAACTAAGATCAGATTTAGTTGTGTGGTTGTAGGGTTATTAGAGACTATGAGATGAATTGTTTTAAATTTTTTATAATATATGATGAGCTTAACTTGTTTATTATTATTAATAAATTTAACATTTCTACCTATTATGTTTTTGAGTGTTGTTTCATCATCATCATATATATATATATATATATATATATATATATATATATATATTATAGATATATATATATGCATGTCTAAGATATAGTAAGAGATTATATTTATTATAATATATTGATTATTGTTTTAATTGTTTTAAATTTTTATAATATATGATGAGCTTAAATTGTTTTATTATTATTAATAAATTTAACATTTCTACCTATTGTGTTTTTTGAGTGTTGTTTCATCATATATATATATATATATATATATATATATATATATATATATATATATATTATAGATGAATATATATATATATGAGGTGTCTAAGATATAGTAAGAGATTATATTTATTATAATATATTGATTACTTTTCTTTCTTGAATTCATCTTCTTTGTAATAGAGAATAACCTTTATATTTTTAAATTTAAATAGTCTCAAGTAATTTTGTTTGGAGTAAAAACAAGCCCAAAATGTCACTTAATGGGCTATATTTATTATACCAGTACTTAGTAACAAAGATGAAAATTGGTAGGTGAAATTATATTAGCAAAAACTAAATAAAGGGATAAGTAATAAAAAAGAAATAAATTTGAAATATTACTTACCTTGTACATTTTTCTCTGAAACAATTATGGTAAAAGTATCCAAAAACTTCTTTAAACAATCATCTATAAAAAAATTAATAAAGACTAATTTATATAAATAAATACAAATTGATAAAATAAATACTCCAAATCTTCTGTAACCCCTTGCGTCCTAGTGGCTTCTTGCCTTGCTTGGGGTGAAACACTAAAAATAAAAAAATAAATACAAATTAGTAAAAAATAAATACAACTAAATTAATACAAATTAATAAATAAATACATTTCCATTTCTCCAGGTCTACTGCTGATGTATTAATGGCTATCACTGAATTTATCTATCAGGCTTTAAATAAGAATTGCAAAGTTCAGGCTGTAGCTTTAGATATATTGAAGGCATTCAACAGGGTTTGGCATGCTGACCTTCTCCACAAGCACAAGGGGATATGATTTCCCTCACAGAATATTTGGCATAATTCAATCATTCCTAAAAAAAAATCAAGTGATAAAGGTTATGTTGAACAGACAAGCTTCTATTTCATTTCACATTAATTTGGGGGAATCCTCCAGAGCTCTATCCTTGGACTTACATTGTTTCTTGTTTTCATCAAAAACTTTCCTGATGTCATCAGTTTCCAACTAGGTATTTATGCTAATGATACAGCTATTTATTCCTGTATTCGTAGCAAGTCCAACAGGTTTGTCAAAAAGAAAACTGCCACATGTTCTCAAAAAGGACCTCTAACCAGTAGTTAAGTGGGGCAAGGAATAGTTTGTAAATGTGAATGCCTCTAAAACAAAACTGTTTTCATTTAATCACCATAGATAACCTTTTCTGTCTGCCATCAGGAGAGCAACTTTTTGCAACTTCTTGGGTTTATATTTTCCACTGACATGAAGTGATTATATTGAATCAATTTCTAGGTCTACTGCTAGAAAAGTTGGTTCATTGTGTTGTGCCAGATAATTTTTCTCATCAAAATCCATTTCACACATTTATAAATCTACCTTTTGTCTGTGCATTGCCACCATATGAGGTTTGATGTTCTTACTATATATATCAAAATTCAAAAAGGGTCTATAATGTAATCAATTCTGACCTAACATCTTGACTGCATGAATTTAAGCATGTTACTAAATTGGCAACTAGGTCTCACCATATTACTGTTGAACTAGATTTCCAATTTCTTGATTCCCTGCCATTTACAATCTTCAAAAATTTAAATGCAATGTCAATCATCACCTTTTGTTTTCCTAAATTCTGTTCTTTTATTGTCCTTTCTCTTCATTCTTCTTCACTAAAGTCTTCTCACTCTCATTCCCCCCTAGCAACCTCTTGTGTCCTTATAGCATTATTGCCTTGCTTTGGGTGATATAATTAAAACAATAAATATAAATTATTTCAGTTAGTCAGGAAAAGTTGATAGAAATATTTAGAAGAGAAAATTTAACATGCAATAAGAAAAGTTAAACAATTGATATAGACAAGATAATATTATTCAAAATATAAAATACTACAAAATATAAAAAACTGATATCAATTAACAAGCATTTTGTACATAGAAAATGTATATTTTAATAATAAAAATAATACTTGTAGTTTGCCTATAGTGGACTTTCATCCAACACTGCCAAATGCTACAAAGTGCAAATATTAACCTACAAGTGGTGTTCTTAAATAGTCTCATCACATTGAGACTATCATATGGATGTTATGAACCATTTCAGAAATATCTAAACTATCAGCAGTATACAAATGTTTTCTCAGATAAATGATTAAAAATGGTTTTGAACAAATAATGTCTGTAGGTCTTAGTGGCGACCATCTTTCTCTGCATCTTGCACTATAGAATTAAAAAGAACTGTACCAAATAACAGAAATGATACCACTTGAAGACTTTTAACATCAGCAACAATTAAAATGAATAGTACATTACTTGAAGAAAAAATAGAATAATCAAGAGGTTGACTTTTCACACTACTTCAAACAAAAGGTTAGGAAGGAAACCATCATCAATACTAGAAAGTGCAATAACAGTTAACAGACTTTAGAAACATATTTTTCTGAAAATTGTTATAAGAGAAAGATTTTATAAATTTCAACCAACAATAGCGGTCCAGTCAGTGAAAGCTGAAAGTTTTGTATAAGGAGAAGACTAATATTACTATTACCATTTATGCTCCATCCTTCAAATCAACCATCCGTCCTTGCATGGAATATTGCTGTCATATATTGTCTGGAGGTCCTCAACAAAATCCAGATGAATATGCAAGATGATAGGTCCTGATCTGGCATCTAGTCTATAATTGCTATCCCACAGATGTGCCATGGCCTCCCTCTCTCTCTTCTACAAGTATTTTCATGTCTACAAGTATTTTCATGCCAACTGTTCCGATGAGCTACTTTTGCTGGTTCTTTGACGACATGAATTTAAGTGAGCTACCAGGCTGGCATCTCAGTCTCACCCTTTCACTGTCAAAATGCTTAAATGTAACTGTCTCTTCTACTCAAACAGTTTCTTCTCTTGCACTTCCCATCTGCTTCTTCGATGACTATAATCTTCAAATATTCAAGTGTAATGTCAATCAACATCTGACACCCTGAGCTTGTTCCCTGTCCTTCTCTGTATCCTTTCCTCAAACATGCCTCTTTACCCTTGTTCTCAATCCTCTGTAACCCTTCACGTGCTAGTGGCACTCCTGCCTTGCTTGGGGTGAATTGCTTTAAAAAAAATGCTGATACTATATTCTGTAGTCCTTAGATCTTTAATACGCAAAAAGGTTGCTTTTATCTGAATTTATCTGTCCCAGGTTGCTCAGAAATGAGACATTATGGAACAACTGTGATTGGCTGAAAAATATTGAATATTATTATGTTATGATTTTAAATAAATTTCAACTGAAAGTAATGTGTAGAGCCTGCTCTATACTGACTACTTTTTGGTCTTTTTGGTTTCAATTGTGACAATGATTTACCTGTGATTCATTACACTTTCATCCTTTGTAGATGTTATGAAAAGAATAGTAATAAACATGGAAACATTAACTTTTTTTTTTACATTTTACTGTTAGTTAAACAAATATTGATTTGCTATATATTTACTTAATAAATTCCTTTATCTGTGCTGTTTTAAAATTTTACTTATATATTCTCTATTTTTTTAACTTTATTTCTTAAAAGAAGTGGACCCTGTTACTTTTTGATCTTCATCTTAATACTTTATGAGAAAACTACAAATTGGTGCCAATATTATGTAGAATGTTATTTACCATATTCAAAACTTCTTTGGTCACATGTATTTTGGGGATCCCGAATTCGTTGAAGACATTTTTTGATAAAGAGCTCCTTCTCTTTTTCTTCTTTAGTAGAATGTTGTGAAATTTTCTGAAACAAAAATTAATTAAATAATAAAGCAAATCAATAATAAAATAATAATTATATGTATTATAATTATTGAATTTTTCTTATAAGTTGGTGATGCAGTTGCACTTTGTCAGGTTTCTTGGTTTTTGTATCAATTTAAGCTAATTCTAATAAATAACTGTTACTAAGGTACTGACTGTTGAATGATATTTAGTATGAGAAATAAGAGATACGATTACCTGCCCTTGGCAGCTTAAGGTTAGCCAATCAGGTTACAGCTGCTGATTGGCGTGCTTTTATACCTCTTTTTGAAGGACACTCACAGAACCAGCCTGCTCTACACCATTATCACCACAAAGTCTGTAGATGGCGAAAACATTGACCCTTCTTCAGCAGATAAGTTTGGTCATAGACACCATTAAATTTGCATTATTTGTAATATTGTTTAATTAATGAAAAATAAATCAGAAATCACTTGTGTTCTATTCTTTATTTATTATGTCTGCATCCACCATGTGAAAATCTTATATGGGGCCTACTTCAATTCCCCATATTAGAAATTTAATAATTAAATTTACATTTGCCAGTCTGTTGTTGCTAAGAAACTAGAAGAGAGTTCCACAGGCAAGAAAAGAAACTATTAGAATAGAACTTACAGTTGCATCTAGCAATTTCAACAGTAAAATGGTGAGACTTAGTTGCCAATTTATAGTGTAGAATAGCAATACAATAAACGGCACTTACCGACATAAGGGTCCCAGCTAGCGCCCAGCTGGTAGACAAAAATAAAGCAGGTTGTAACTCAATACAAACCCTGCAAACTAACTGATGAATCAAGCTGGTATTTATACAGAAATACCTCCACTCATGTACCAGCAGCCAATCACAGCCCAAGCAATGCACTATCCCACTTGCGCACAATGAGATGCTCCATAGCACCATAAATAGCTCTCTTTCTCAAGATGGAGTGTTCATTCACTCAGCTTGTTCCACAACTGAGTGTTTATCTTGACTATGTGATTGTTCTATATGGCACTGTGGGCAGGATTCGAAATCCAGTGGGCATTGCCCGTGCAGGAGCCATATACTCGTCTTAAGGATGTGATATTAAAACGTTCGGACAAGGATTTGCTCCGGGAACTTTTCACCCACGTCACCAGGGGTGACAGAACACCCTCACAGCCAACTAGGAAAACATTCGATGGCTGAATCGATCTTGTGCAAACTGTGGATGGACAAGCTACCCACCACAATAATGCAGATATCGGCGCCAATCGCTGACAATACACCACTAGACCAGTTAGCAGACTCCGCTGACTGCATCGCAACAAAACTGGACAAAGGAGTGTGTGCCGTGCAGTGCCCAGATGACACACCAGCCAAAAACACAGATCTGGAAAAGGCAGTAGCTGACCTGCAACATCAGCTGCAGGATATATGAATGTTCCTTTCCCGCAAATCAAGAGGCCCAAGGCTAGTGGCCGGCGACGGAGAGTACGGAGTACCAGCAGGGATCGCTGAGTTGACCCAGAATTATGCTGGTACCACCACAGATTTGGCACAAGGGCAAGACATTGCTCAGCACCCTGCAAATACAGCTCCAAAACTAAATCAGAAAACTAAACTGCTGGCGGGTAGGAGCGGCAGAACTCCCCAGTAAAAACATATAAAGCTACCCCCCAGAGAACAGCAAGACCAAAAAAAATAATAGGTTATAAACATCCGATTGAGACATTGGGAACCAAGACACTGACTCATGCGGCATGATTTTACCTGGACTTTCACCCAGGCAGACATAAAAAACGCCAATACTCTGAGCAGATTTCTGGCCCACTATTTTTCTTAGCCATGCATATGAACACGAGGACTTTATCAGACAACACAAATTACATTTTTAAACCCTGGCACCCTCTCGACACAACACCACTGGAATCAATTATTAACTTGCCACGGACGAGAATACGTTGAGATCCTGAATAGATACCCAGACATCATTCAACCACTGGAGCTGGGTACCGTCAGTGGCAAAACACCAAACGAAAGCATCACATAAAGTCCAGTGGAGAGCAACATTTTCCCACCCAATTCATTCCTTCCTCCTCATAAGCTTGAATAAACAAAAGAAATTCAACAACATGCTGAAAACACAAAAAATTACAACTTCTCCGATAGCCCATACGCCTCACCCTTAAATCTTTTTACCTTTTTACTGAGAAACACGGACTTTAGGGTATGTGTTGATTACAGAAGAGTGAACGCCACCACCATACCCGATTTTATCCAGTCCCGGTGATATCTCTGAATTTTAAGCCTCAGGGGTTGCAGGGCACTTTACGTCTTTTTTAAAATAAATCTAATATAAGGCTTACCATCAGATTTCCATAAAAAAATTCATCCCAAAAAGCCGCTTTAACCACCCCTTTGGTCTTTTTTTTTACCTCAAGATGTCCTTTGGCCTGAGGAATGCAGCACAAACTTTTCAACTCTTCATAGATGAGGTAATAATTGGCCTAACATAAATATATGTTTTTGAAGAATCGATGACATCCTAGTATGCCAACAGATGAAAAAATACATGTGCAACATCTAATTGAAGTTAAAACCAAAGGATAGTACATTACGGACTCCGACTGAACATCAACAAATGCATTTTTTGGGGCATCTGAGGTGAATTTCTTAGGTCATCATATGGGATCACATTGTCACCCGAAAATTGACGCAATCAAAATTTCCCTTAAGACCTCCATCCACAAAACAAATTAGATGATTTATCGGTATGATAAATTTTACCACAGGTTCATCCCCGACAATTCTCCCCCATTGACAAACCTCATAGAGCGAAAAGAATAAGCAAATTATGCTAAAGGAAGATACCTTTTGTCTCCTTTCCAAATGGCAAAGATATCTTATAAACTTCACAAAACTTTCATTCATAAAACGACCCGGAAACAAGAATCTTCCTTACAACAGAAAGTTCTGACGTTGAATAGGAGCAGTAGTGGAGCAGCAAGTGAACATGAAGAGACAGCTGATAGCCTTCTTCTCAGCTAAACTCTCTGCAGCCCAGAGAAGATACAGCACCAAACTCACAAGAACTCTTTTGATTACCTGTCATCCCTCATTTCCAACATCTTCTGGAGGGCAGACATTTCACAATCTTCACAGATCACAAACCACTGACCAACATGATGAATGTCAGTGCAGACAAATATACATCCCATGAAACATGTCACCTCGACTACATCTCACGACGGACATCAGACACGTCCAAGGAAAGAACAACACCATCACAGACACACTGTCCAGAACAGACGTCAATACCATGGATAATGACGATTTTCTATTTTTTCCCAAAACTGGTTGGCACAGCCAGACAACAACAATTAATTAAGTGTTAACATAATAAAAAACAGGTATCTATGGTGTAGGTTCAATTTCTTTATTACTGATTTGAAATTGGTTATTGGACAAATTTTATTGATCCAAAGATTTTTTAATCAAAATGAGTGCTAATAAGTTGGAGCATACCTATCATCAAGGTGTGTGTGTATGTATGGGGGGGATGCACCCTCAAAAAACATAATTTTCCTTATTCCTTATGTTATATACCATACCTATGAACACTAATGAGTAAGTCCCAATCCTCATAAATATACTGGACACTATTGTAAGTGGGGGTAATATGCTGTCTAAGTAGTTCACCGCTAGCAATGGTGTTTACCCACTTCATGCTGCTGGCAAGTATTGTATTTTGTTGATGTTATAAAGATTACCATTCCATTTCTGACCTCCATTTTGGTTATTCCTCATTCAGTAACCTTTTCTAGGTGACAACACCTTATGAAAATGATATGTACTAATTTATGTAGGCAAATTATTACTTGTTGCCCTACTAACTTAATGGCCACCTCCCACCCAATTCAAAATACTCTGGAGATGGGCCTGAGTTGGAAGAAAGTTAGTAATAAAATAATAGGAAAAATCTAATCTAAAGAAGAAATAGAAGTTAGTGATAAAATAACAGCAGTAAAAATGTTTTATTTATAAAGGCAAAATAATAAAATGGTGTAAATTTTGTAACAAAAATAGTGATAATGCTACATCTAAAAAAAATAAAATAAAAAATAAATTTAATAAAAAAATAATAATGAAAATGCTCCTTTTAAAAAGCATTGTTAATAAAAGTAAATGTGACACCCCCACCCAATAAGTTATTATCTATATTTTAATCCAGAGGGATGTTACAAACTGAAACTCATAATATATTGCTCATGTAAATATAAATATATCCAGAAAATTGGTTAATACTGTTATAGACAAGCGTATGGTTGCAAGAAAGAAATACGACAACAGCAGAAATAGATTTACGTGGTTTATCTCAACAGGAACGTGAGGGTATGGGACAGCTACCTTGTGGTAAAGTTCATAAGCCGGCTTTCGGATCTGGTCGATCTCTCAGTAGTTCACACATGTTGACGGTGGTTGACGGACCCCTGCAGTCAGCAGCTGAACGTGACAGGTCTCTATCCTGGGCACCTGTGGACTGACTGTTGAACTTTCCGTGTGACCCCTTTTATAGCGATTTTTATGGCTTAACAGGCTCGAGAAATGGAGCGAGTATAATTAGGAGGGAAGCATTTTTATTGGACAAAAAATAGAGCACTTTAAATATTATTTTATTTTTCGATCGGAACACGTGTGTCGGGAACATTTGTAAAGGAAGTTAATGGTCATTTTGTGACGGGGCTTTGTCCCGTTCACATCCGGTTCTCGCTCTTGAGTATTTGCCTGTAAATCAGCCAAGATATGTCTTATTTTTTTTATAACAATACCAAGTAACTATCAGTTTCATGCCTCAATGTGATCTTCAGTCCAAGTGCAACTACTCCTTTAAGTTGCAGGTAGATTAAGGAAAGAGCACATTAGCTTTTCTGAGTTCAAATGAAATTAATAAAGCCAGACATAGGCAATGGATCATCATATTTATCTAACTAGGCATACTTATTATGCCCCATAAATAA